TGCATTGAAACAGATGAGGGAGAGAACTGTTTAAAAGGGATAGTGATTAGGTATTATTGTCATGACAGGAGTCCAGAATGAAGGCTGCACAGTGGAGTGGGCTTGCGGGGAGGGTTTGAATAACAATGAAAGAATTTTTTTCTTTTCAAAGAGAAAAGCTAATGGGGGGAGGGAAGGTGTGAGCAGGGAGAAAAGTGCAACAATGAATGAATGGAAATACAAAGTCTCTGTAAACTTTCATTAAAATCAATAAAGAAAATAGAAAAGCTGCACTGTGCGGTTCAAATCCACCAGATATTCTGCTGGAGAAGGAGGGACAATCTCTTCCTGTACCAGTCAGAAATGATTTGACAGTACACACACACACACACACAAAATAATAAAAAATAAACTTAAAAAAAATAGAAAAGGTTTAACGGCAAGTGAGTGGCAAACCCGGAAAAGGATTGTGCTTCTTGCCAGAAGGGACACACTTGACCCAGAATGGCCCTCGGATCTAGAGTGACCTGGATCCTAGATACAGACACCACCTTCTGTCCTCCAGATGGAAGTGAGGGGCCTGGATACCGGTGACCTGTGGGAGCAGACTGTCCACCACCAGCCACGAGAGCGGCCCTGGTCCCGAGGGTGAAGCATGAGAAATCCTCACCTGGTCCTGGAGGTAAAGCGTGGCCTCGGACACTGAGTTTTCCATGCTGATCTTGCCCTGCTCCTGGCTCTCCTTCAGCTCGGCCAGCTCCTTCTCAATGTCAGCAACATTGACTCTGTGGACACAAGAAACCGCCTAGTGTCAGCACCAGCCCAGGGACAGGGGCCACTGGCCCTGGGTCTCATCAGCAGGGATGGAGGAAGATGCAGATGAACACTCTCCAATTGTCTGCAGTCCTCTGAGTCTGTGAGTCCGAGGCTAGGCTTGTCATGGCTATGGGCACCTAGTGTGGCAGCCTGAGAAGCTTCTGGAAGGTGGGAATGGGCCTGAAGGGCTGTGGCAATTACTCTTTCTCCAACTGAGACGGAGTTTAAGGAGCTTGTGGTCTTCCCAGCTCTGGTGCTGAACTGTTTAAGGAAACTGGGAAATGGCTCTGAGTTCCTTGGGCTTAGCTGGGCAACTGAACGAACGGACATCAGTCACGTCAAAGGGAATGGTCATCCGGGGGCACGAGGGAGGCACTGGCCACTGTCAAGTCCATAGCTAAGCTAGTGTGACATCACGATTCCATTGTGTTTGGGCGGGGCGTTCTACCTGAGGATGCCTAGCTGCAAGCCAAGCTGGCTAGATTTCATCTCCTTCCCGGTTTCTCGAACTCCTTCACCCTCCAAGATCCTTTGTATCCTGTCCAGCTACGAACCAATAGAAGAGAGGGTCAGGCAGTCATGAATTCTCCATTTTCTGAGCGTCTCGCTCCAACCCAGCCAGATTCCTCCCTCCCTCTTTCCCTGAATGTAACCCCGTCTTCTGTGGCGGAAGCCAGGCTTTCCTCCTGACCTCCACCAGTCCACTTACCCAGTCATCCACTCATGAACTCATGTCTCGTCCAGCCCCTCAACCACTTTTGCTTCCTCCTTCTCTTCCTGGCATCTATCTAGATATTTATCTGTCCATCCCATCCATCCATCCATCCATCCATTGTATAAGTACCCTTGCATACAGACAGAAGGTATTAAAAGAATGGTTTTCTTGCAGCCTCAAGCCATGACCCCCGGTCACAGAAAAAGAGGGTCCCACACATTCCGTTACAGGGTTGCTGCCACACTAGTGAGGAAGTGGCTCACGGAGTGCAAAGAGCCCTGGCCTCGTGAACTGGCTCAGTGGCATACCAACAGCTCTGCGCGTTCCACTTTAGATCCAGGAGACTCACACAGTGATCTTGTAGTACCTTTTCTACCTGACAGGACTGTGGAGGTCCACATGATAATGAGGTGTGGCGAGGACTGTGAAGTCGTCCAAAAAATAAGTGCATCACGTTATCATATCACCATGCACCAACGAAGTAGCCTGACTCTCCCTTGCTTACTTTTGATTTTTCCTGCCGAATTTCTTTGGCCAAGGACTTGATGATCTTCACTTCTTCCTGCAGTTCAGGGGGTATGCTTTTTTTGACTATGGGAGATAGAGGTTTTATAGTCAGAGGAGTTCTATTTTCAGGGGCTTCCCTGAAACCCCCCCATCTCCAGCCCCAAACTACAGAAAGTGCCCTAGAAAGGGGTAAGAAGAAAAAGAAGCAAGAGTTGTCCCTAGCTCCTAAAAGTCCCACCTAGTTCACATCCTGGCCAACCTTTCCTGCTCTCTTCTAAAACCTTTATTATGTTCTGGGCTGAGTTGTGAAAAGGCCTATGTTCGGCTTAATTCTTCAATGTTCTCTTTCTCTCCCCCCGACTCCGATGCCACTGTGTCCCTAGCTCCTGCCCAGAGGGCCCAACAACTGTGTTCCCGGCTCCTCCCCCGAGGGCCCAACGAGGACTGAAGAAGCTGCTGTGTTCTCCTCCTCTTGGTGCCCGCTTGGCCCACCTGTCAAATGGACCCTGAAAGCTTTGAGAGAGACCCAGAAAAACTGGTAGTGGACATGCAGCCCTGGGGGTCTAGGAAGTGGCCCAGGAGTCAGAAGTGGACATGCCACCCTCAGAGTCTAGGAAGTGGCCAGCAGTGGAGGCCAGAGGGGGAGAGGATGCCATGAGAGAAAAGAGCATGACCACATGGTGCGCACACACTACCCACCCATCATGGCAATCATGTGCTGGAACTTCTCCAGATCCGTTAGGCCAGGCTGCTGCTCCTCCAAATCCTTCATGTTCTCCTTTACCTCCAAGTAGAGGCCAATGAGCTCACCGATCAAACGAAGTGTCTCCACAGCGATTGGAAAGCTTGGGGCCAACTTTTCCAGAGAGCTGTGAACCTCACTAACTGTGTCCATCATTTCTGTTGAGCTTCTGTACAGCATGCCAGAGGACTCGCCCCTGATGACGGTGGCACCCTGGCCTGGAGTCAAGCCAGAAAAGCCAGCTTGGCCCAGGACACCTATTTGATCCGCACGTAGGGCCCTGGCTTGCTGAGGCATTAAGCCACGTTGATCTACGCCAGGCCGTACCAACTGCTCTTGGTCTAGGTGCTGTAGCCAACCTTCTTGGCCTCTCCCTGGTGATCTCAAACTTGCTTGGTCTAGCAATGAGGCCCTGATGTATCCACCTCTACCGGAAGTTAACATTTCTTGCTGATATGGATATGGTGATCTTGAAACACCTAGTGGTAACTGTGAAGAGTCAAGAAGCCCTGGGCCTGGTGGTAATAAGCCTTGCTGGTCAAGTCCATCGCGTACCAAACTACGCTGGTCAGCTTCAGGCCCCAGTAAACGCTGTGAATCTGCATAAGTTTGGACCAAACCAGGCCAAGCAGCACCAGGTTTCGCGGAATCAGGATAGGCACTAGGTCGTATCAAACTAGGAGGAGGGGCACTAGGTTGTATGGAAGCAGCAGGATGTGCGCTAGGTTGCATGGAAGCAGGAGGGTAGGCTCCAGGTCGCATGGAAGCGGGAGGGTAGGCACCAGGTTGCATGGAAATAGGAGGGTAGGCGCCAGGTCGCATGGAAGCAGCAGGATGGGCGCCAGGTTGCATGGAAGCGGGAGGGTAGGCGTCAGGTCGCATGGAAGCAGCAGGATGGGCGCCAGGTCGCATGGAAGCAGCAGGATGGGCGCCAGGTTGCATGGAAGCGGGAGGGTAGGCGCCAGGTTGCATGGAAGCAGCAGGATGGGCGCCAGGT